CTTTTCTTCACTGGTGCTAAACTGTTGTATAGTTTCAGAAGGGCTGTACTTCATTTGGGGACAAAATATTTATATACATACATGCGTCTTAATGTTAATTATTATCTTCTTGTTTAATATATTCTTACACCTCTTGAGAACCTCCCCTCAGAAGCTCTCTCAGCACTTTACAAACGTTAATACACTAAATCCATAAAATAAGTGAATGAGAGAGATAAATTATTCTCACTGCGGAAACTAAGGCACAGAGAATTTAAGGTCAAAAGTGTACAAAAATTGCTCTTTGGTTTTGGGAACCCAACCTGAGACCCTGTGAGTCCAATTTTCATTAGTCCTAGGTCTGTGGCGGGCAACCTGTGGGTAATCTGATTGTGGGCAGCAGGACATTTTGCTGACAATGACTGTCCGCAGACACCACCCTCCACAGCTTCCAGTGGCCGTGGTTCTCTCTTCCCAGCCAATGGGAGCTGTGGGAAGTAGTGCCATCAGGCAAAGGGATGCAGGGATGTGCTGGCCACTGCTTACCACAGCTCCCATTGGCCAGGAACAGAGAACCATGGCCACTGGGAGCTGCAGGGAACAGTGTCTGCGGATGGTCAATGTTACCAAAATGTCTTGTGGCTCTCAGCCTGATTACCCGGATGGGCTACATGCATCATATGGGCTGCAGGTGTCCACTACTATCACAAGAACTTTTAAAGCTACATCATATATTTCTCAACATGCATACCCAAAAGCTAAAACAAAAAAATTAGTGACTAACTTTGGAAAGGTAATTTGTTCAGGATCACAATAGGGACATAAGCGAGTAGTTGACTAGTTGACTCCCTGATAAGCAAAAGCTTATTGGGTAGTCAATGGGAGTATTGACTACTCACTTGCACGCCCTCCCCTCCCCCCGGCTCCCACTTGCTGCCTCTCTCAGAAGCAGCAAGTTGTGGGGAGCCGGCTTAAAAGCTGGTTCCCCCCATCACCATCTCCATGGTGCTGCTGCCTCTCCCCCCAACCCTGTTGCCACTATCAGAGGCAGAAGGGGGTATAGAGGAGGCTGTGGCAGTCTGAGACTCCAACGAGGAGCAGGGCCCCCCCCGCGACAGGGACTGATGCCGGTGCAGCCTCCGTTCGCAGTGGACAGGGGTGGCCACGAGCAGGGGATGTTCCAGTAGCAGCCCCTATCCACAGCCAGCCCTGTCCGCCACAAACAGAAGCTGCACCGGTAGCAGCCCCTTTTTGCAGTGGACAGGCTGGACCACGAACAAGAGCTGCTGGATTCAGCACGAGCCGAGACTAAGCAGTCCGGGACATTGTGCCTCCACATCTTACTACATTTAAATGCAGAGCTGTACGTGGGTGGCTCCTGTGACTGCTCAGTCCCAGCTCATGCCAGCTCCTGGAGCTACCTGCACTGTGGCTCTGCATAGCGGTACTTATTGACTAGTTGATAATTGTATCAACTACACGATTAGTTAGATATTCATAATTTAACATCCTTGGATCACACAGATCATTTTATTTAGAGCTGAGCCTAAACCTAAGAGTGTATGACTCTCAACCCCTAGCTTTAGCCACAAGGTCATCTTACCCCAGTGCAGTGTCAGTGTTCAGAGATAATTTCCACAAAGGACCTTGTGTTGTTCAGCATGCCTGAAATCTTAATGCGCTTGAAGCCAAACGGCAATAACTCCACTGGTTTCACCCCATGTCCTCGATCTAGATATTTATGGCATTTAGCTATACTTAGTCCTAACCTCCATTCCAGATGCACAGCTGGAAGAATAAGTCAGAGAAAGTCACCTGTATTTGGAATAGTATCTGCTCTCTGCAATTTTGAGATATCTGAAAATGTCTAGGAGGCTTTCAACTACATCTGTCTCTGTGATAGTTAAATTATGCACTCAGAAAAACTGATTTAGCTTACATGATACAAATACCTAACAGGTATACAACCAATCTGTATACTAGAGTTTAGATCCATCAGGTACCAGAAAATGACCATAACTATATGAATAATCCTGGAAATGGCTAGATATGGATTTCTGTGAAACTGACACGAATTCTGTGAAATTTACAATGAAGTAGAGAAATGAAGCCAGACTGCATTGGCTTATGTACTGCAGCATAAGACACTTGCTTAGCCTTGATAACATGTTCTACTTTTATTTAAAATTCAGACAATGCCAAGTAGATGGAAGTCAATAATAGAACACTAACTAGCTAAAAAGCCAATGTTTTTCACTTCCTTACAGTTTCTCAGCACAACTGTCTCCAGACAAATCCAAACTCAGAATAATTAAATAGACAACTACAGCCTTGCACAAGTTGCAAGTTTGTCACCTTTTGCTGTCTCCATGCACTTATCATCAGGAACATAGTAACTCACATCTACTTCTGTGTTGTCCATGTGCATGCATTAATACCAGTTAACTCTTTATTTCTGGTTAAATTATATTATGTAACATTGTGCAGAGAACATGTGAAAGGAACTCTCTAAAGTCAAAGGCAAAATAAAGGAGAAAGACATCAACATAGTATTGGGAAGGTGAGAAAAAGTTAGATCATATTTAAAATGATCTAAGTCTCAATGCTTGCATAGAGTTTCTGAATCAAATTTGTTCAAATCCAGTTCAGTTGTTGGATTTGTTCCTAGTAGTACTTGCATTTACCATGACCTCTAAAAAATCCTGAGACTAGGGAGCTGTGATCAGAGAGTACCTTAATGTATCCTCAGGGAATATCCACCCTCTTGCCTTTGTGATGGTGAATACAGCAAGAGGCTGAAGTATTGCTGAATATTGCTTTTGTTTAGTATCTGAATAAATACTGGCTGAGCCTCTTAGAGGAAATGTAAAAAGCATACACCCTTCAGCTGGCAGGATATTTGTAATGCATTATACCTAGTGAATAAAAGGCACACACGGGGAAACAGAAGTGACCCTGACAGAGGGATACAATATCAATGTTAATGGTTTGTGTGTCAATGTAAGAAACCTTTAGGAAGAGATTATAACTGCAGAAGCATGTGATTGTCTGTAGCAGGTAAGATCTGTATACAAAACTATATTTGTCCACCTGCCAAACTGCCAGCTCTGAAACAGATTAGATGCAGACTTAGGGGTTCGATAGAGATCTAATTGCCATAATAGTGAACAGATGCACTATGCAGTAGCATGGATTGACCTTTAAGTGGTATTTCTTCTTGGCAAAGGTTATCTTCTTGCAGATAAATTGTCACTTTCACATTCTGTAACATCAAAAGTTACCATATGTGTATTTACCACTCTGATCCTCTTGCATGCCACCCAGTAACTGCCAAAGAGTACTTTTTATGTGATGTGCATGCAAATATTTATGTTTATATTTGTTTTTAGTATTCTTGTCCTTGAGCATGTTGCTGAGATATCATGTGTCTGTGATTAAGGATACCATAAGCCACTATATCTGCTGAAAACAGAATTAACTGTCTTCACAATTATCTTTGCCCACAAAAGTTTATGTCCACATATCTTTGCTCATGAAAGCTAATGCCCAAACAAATCTGTTAGTCTCTATGGGCATGTCTACACAGCAGGGTTAAAGCCGAAGTAAGCTATGCAACTTGAGCTACGTCAATTGCGTAGCTTAAGTTGAAATAGCTTATTGGCTATCTGCACTACAGCAGGAAGTCCAAGGTAGAGCATTCTTCCCCTGACTTCTCTTACCCCTTGTAAAATGAGGGTTACAGAAGCCGGAGTAAGAAGTTATCAAACTTCCTCCCAGCACCTGTCTAAAGATCTGAAGGGCACTTTGGGTGGGGTAGGGGTGCCGGTTCTGGGAGGGAGTTTGTGTGCAGAAGAGGTGAAAGCTCTGGGGGGCATGAATGCAGGTGGGAGTCTGAATTACAGACTCTGGGAGGACGTGGGTACAGGTGGGTGTCCACAGGCTCTGGGATGGAGTCTGGGTGCTGGCTCTGGCCTGGGTTGGGGGTAAGAGGTCCTGGGTGCAGCTAGGAGGGAGTTTGGGGGCTGGGGAGAGGAAGAAGTTTGTTGGCAGGACAGGGGGCTGGAAGAAAGGGTGCAGCACAGCGGGGTTAGAGTGGCTTCCTGCTCCTCCCTCCCCACGGCTGCCAGCAAGTTCCTACAACCCAGAGGGCAGGGCTTCATGTGCTGCTCCTACCAGCTAGAATAGCGCAGAGACACCGCATTCCTAAACCAGGCCATAGGGATGACCATGTTGGCAGGGGAGCAGGAAGCCACTCTAGCCCCACGGTGCTGTTGTGGTGCTGGCAGAGGCTCCCAGGACGTTATAAATCAACTGGTGGTGAGGCCAGGGAACATGGGAGGAGGGAATGTGTGGGGCGGTAGGGAGCTGGGGGATGCACAGGGCAGGGAGCAACAGGCGACAAGTTTTCTTGGAGCCCAGTCCCAGGCTAGGAAAATTCCTATGCTGGGCACCACAGGCATGCCTGGCTGCCAATGGCCATCCCACTTTCTTAAATTGGTGCCAGTTGAAAGGTGTTGTCAAAGTTTAACAAACCTTCATTGTCCCTGATCTGGTAAGTATGTGACACAGTCCTGCCAGCATGAGATTGACTCTCCACATACACTGAGGCATTCAGAGATGAGCTGCTTCATACAATCAACCATTCACAAATTGTACATAGACCAGTTTCCCCAAACTGTCACATTTACAATTAAATGTGTGTTAATTAGCCAAACCTATGATTTACTCAATTCTAATCCCACCTGCCATATTTATGCCACTAATCTCTAACTGCAGCAAGTGTTACAGGACCAGTATATAACCAAATGTTTATCTGTAAGTGATTCTGACATTACTAACATTAGCTTTAGGCTTCTTTTGATGTTGACATTTGCAGACCAAATGAATCCATTTAAATCAGGTGTTGCTGCTTTGTTGGACTGCAGCTCATGTCTCCATTATACCAATGACAATAAACAGAGGAAGCATTTTTGACTTTACAAAACCCAGGATGAATCATGCATGCCTTATTTCTTTTGCAGTGGTGAGAGGAGGTGAAAGTTTAGCTCCCTCCTTGTCAATTCAAGTTCCACAAGAAAACACAGGAGTGATTTCCTGAAGATCTTCTGAGCTCTGCAGAAGTGAGGCCCCTTCCCATCCCAGGACAGAGCCTCTGCCTGGTTTACAAGCACTGCAGCTGTTAAACTTGAGGTGTTCCTAAGCCTTGCTCTTCCCCAGCATTTGCCATCCCATTATTTTTAACTCACCAGACTAAGCGAATGGATCTCTTGGGGATTGCCCCAGGGAAATGCATTTGTAACAAATTTTGCCAGACCCACTGACAGGAGGAGGCAAAGGGAGCAGTTGCCCAGGGCCCACCAATTCAAAGGAGCCCAGGGCTCCTGGCCACCTCTGTTGCTACTGAGGCAGCAGTGGCAGCTGGATCCCCAGGCCCTTTAAATCATTGCCAAAGCCCCACACAGTGCGTTCCGAGCTGTGCTGAGGGTGGAGGGTGGGGACGCTGTGCTCTGGGTGGTGTGGAGGACTGGCTGCCCGGCTCTGCCCCCCCCCACTTTGGCCAGAGGCACATTCAGGCTGTCAGCAACCCTGAATATTGCATTATACAGTCCCTCCACAGTTGTGTACGGAGAGACATGCTATCTCAGAGCCAGTTCATTCAGAAGAGCACTCAAAGGCATGTGCTGACCTGCTGCAGGCCTTTAAATAAACATGAAGTGGCTTTGGAACAGTCAAGAATCTGGCAGGGAATAGGGTAAAATGCTAAATGGGGCAAGCACGGTGGACAAAAGTCACAAGAGTCAATAAGAACGATTACCATTTATATGTGGCTATTTTTTTGGAATTGTTATGCATGTAAGTGATATTATATCCAGAATTTCAGTGAAGCACAGCTCAAGACAGCAAAGCAAGTTTAACAAGGAGGAAGAGAAGAGGGACTATATTTTAAGAAGTGAGTTTTCGTGTACTGTAAAGAAGTGTTCAAAGATGAGAATACCCCCAGTTTTCAAAGTCTGGGCACATCACTAAGACTTTAAGCTGTTTGGTGCATAATTATGTTGTGTGAACAGTGGAACCCATATTCTGATTGTGCACGATCACAATATAAATTAATAAACTAATGCTTGTATTTGCTTTATAATATTGTGGGTTAAATATCATGGAAGCTGGTGTGTGTAACTGTTTCCTGTTACTGGGTAAAACATCCCTGAAAACCATGGCACATGTGGGCAGAGGGTTTCTGATGAGTATTATTTTGAGTAGAGGGGTGTACGTTTGTGAGAGTGAGAGAGTGCACCCCTCAAGCTGACACAGAGAAGGAGGAGAAAGCCTGACCTGCCCTAAGAAGCACTGAGAAAGCCTAGAGAGGGTTCTTTTGGGCTGAGTGCTGGGTGAACGGGGTTTGAAGTGGCGAGTGAAGAGACTGCCTCCTGTTGTTAGGATTGCCAGATACTTTCACAAAAAAATCCCAAACATGGCGAGAAAAATATTGTTTGAGCAAAAAAAATGGGGAACCAAACTTGTCGAGCAAAAATAGTCACCGAGCCTTTAAATTTCCATGCTCCCCACCCCTGCCAGATGCAGCAGGGGAAGAATGGCCCTGCCGGCCTTCCGTCTGAGAAAAAACAGAAAATACCAGACATTTTACATGTCCAGTATTTTCTGGGTTTTTTTACTGGACAGGGGCCACAAATAACAGACTGTCTGGGCGAAAACCAGACACCTGGCAACCCTATACAGAAATCTATTATTGGAATTTGTGTGTGTGCCCAGGATTATACCAAAGACACCTGAACTTTTCAATTTCTCCTGCGAATGGAAACAACACACAGGGCCATGTACTTTGGTTCATTACTCAGGTCAGGAGAGGTAATGCTAACCCACTATGATAATCACAAGCTGCAGTTTGACTTTGGCTTTCTGCAACCTTATCATTTAGTAACATTGGTTTTGAGCTAAGAGCTTTCTGTATTTGCATAGAAACAGAGAGTGACCCAAAAGTTTCAGTAAATAACAGTAACTCTAAAAGAAATAGTGCTCCAACAGATTTCAGTATTTCTTTCCAGTAGGGCCCCTAATCTCTGGTCCATTATTTTACATAGAACTGGAGCTAGATCATTTGAAGTTCTGGCAATCTCTCATCCATACTCTTTGGTTTCTGGTAGTAACAGAAAAAGAAGTTTGTCCCACTATTAAATGATGTTCATTCTTGCTAATTTGGTGTAATGAATGACTCCCCCTGAATAGATCATTTAGCACTGCTACCCTCTTAGACCATGTCTATACTACAGCCGCTACAGTGGCACAGCTACAGAAATGTGGCTCGTAGTATAGACACTTCCATTACTGGCAGAAGAGTTTTTTTCACTGAGGTAGGTAATCCTCCTCTCTCAGAAGCAGTAGCTGTGTCAACTGCTCGTAGCAGGGGTTAGCTTGACATAACTATATTGCACAGGACATGAACATTTTCACAGCGATAAGCAGTGTAATGGGGTCAACCAAATTTTAAGGTGTAGGCCAGGCCTTAGTAGTAAGATGAAATATAATATGTATAAGGCCCTGCTAGGGCTGTAACAAGGGTAAGACGAATGAGGCACTTGCCTTGGGTGCATAGCTGAGGGGGTACAGAAAAATAATATAGAAAACTAATTATTTTAAGACAGCTACTTATTTTAAGACAGCGCCACTTCCCTCCCCTGCCCATTAGCATCGTCTGGCCCGCAGTTTACATGTCAGGCTGCACGTTGCTGCTCTACGATCCAACAGTCACCAGTCCTGGCGGCTGCCCACCACATCAGCTGCTTCCAAGCGACGCGAGAGGCTGGGCACCAGCTCAGTCACACCAAGCGCCACCTTAAGATGCCCTAGTGCAGTTCCCGGGCACGGGGCCAGGGGAGAAGGAGTTCAGATTGCCCTGCACAGGAGCAAAGGTATAGGAGGTGAGGTGCAGATGGAAGCCAAGACTCCTGGGTCTTGTCTCACCTCTGCCAGGGGAGTGGCTCTAGTCTTAGGGGTATGTGATTAGAGCTGGGGGGTCTGGGAGCTACGATCCCACAGGGTATGTCTACACTACCCCCGTAGTTCGAACTAGGGGGGTTAATGTAATCATACGGAGTTGCAAATGAAGCCCGGGATTTGAATTTCCTGGGTTTCATTTGCATGATCCCGGCCGGCGCCATTTTTAAATGCCAGCTAGTTCGGACTGCGTGCCGCGCGGCTACACGCGGCACGAACTAGCTAGTTTGTCATTGCCCCTCCCTTTATTCCTCCTCTCACTTCACACCTGTTTTCTTTGTCTTTCAGTGTAGGTCTACACAGTATCATCATTTTGGAATAACTGGCGTTATTGTGTCTACACTACAAGCCTTTATTTCAAAATAATGGCGAGCTGGAGTACTTCTTACTCCAACTCATGATAACTCTCATTTCATGAGACGTAAGGGAAGTGGAAGAAAAAGTGTTCTCCCTTTGACTTCCTGCTGTGTAGACAGCACCAAAAGCTGAATTAAGGTATTTCAACTTAAGCTACACAATTAATGTAGCTCAAATTTCGTAGCCTAATTCGACTTTTGCCCTGCAGTGTAGATGTATCCTCACATCCCTTCCTAGTGCTTTGTGACCAATCCTTTACCAGGTGTGTCAGGAAGGCTAAGAAGCTTCTTAGAGTTATTCAAGCAAAGTTGCATGGGCATGATATCATGCTTCACCTTCACTGGCACCACCCACCACTGCTTCCCTTCAGCAGCAGTATAGAGTATCCAGCAGACCTGCTGCCTTGAGACACTTCACTATGCTGCTTTGCACATGTGCACAGATCTGCCAACAGCACTGTCCCCTCACCCTACTCCAATATTTCATAGATAAGTTTTCCTATTTTTCAATTTTGTAATATAGATGCAGTGCCACTAAGCACTGGCAGAGATCGGAGGTTGAGAGGAAGATAGATTGTAGTGGAGAGGGAGGGACTAATTGCCAATATGTGTTTATTTTGTGTTAAAACTTGGCAAGATTTTGAACCAAACAAATCACAGCACACCCAGATAGAACTAATATAAGGTCTGCACATAACTGTTCCCAGTGAGTAATTATCAGTGGTTCACAGTTAAGCTAGAAAGGCATATCAACTGAGTCCTGCAGGGATTGGTCCTGGGTCCAGTTCTGTTTAATATCTTCACAAATGGTTTAGATAATGCCATAAAGAGTACACTTAAGGGCTACATCTACACTGGCATGATTTTCCGAAAATGCTTTTAACGGAAAACTTTTCCGTTAAAAGCATTTTCGGAAAAGCGCGTCTAGATTGGCAGGATGCTTTTCCGCAAAAGCACTTTTTGCGGAAAAGCGTCCATACCAATCTAGACGCGCTTTTCCGCAAAAAAGCCCCGATCGCCATTTTCGCGATCAGGGCTTTTTTGCGGAAAACAGTACTGTGCTGTCTACACTGGCCCTTTTGCGCAAAAGTCTTTCGGAAAAAGACTTTTGCCCGAATGGGAGCAGCATTGTATTTCTGGAAAAGCACTGATGATTTTACATGAGATCGTCAGTGCTTTTCCGGAAATTCAAGTGGCCAGTGTAGACAGCTAGCAAGTTTTTCCGGAAAAGCTGCTGATTTTCCGGAAAAACTTGCCAGTCTAGACACAGCCAAGGAGTTTACAGAGGCTATTAAATTGGGAGAGGTTGGAAGTGATTTGGAGGCAGACCCATCCTTAGCCATACAGAGAATGTGCAGTTGCGTAGGACATCCAAAAATTTGGGGCACCACTAGGTCTTAATGGCCATCCACTGCCTCTTCCTATGTGTTCTGTGACTCTCCTTCCTCCAGAGAGGATCTGGTTAACTTAAAAGTAAAAAAGCCTGCCAGAGCTATTAAAACTGTGAAACTGACAGACATTGAAACTGTGAAAGAGCAATTCAAGTGGTAATGAACAGACATTAGCCAGCCCCAGGTACACACTGTCAGTTTCTGAATTTACTGAATCTACTCATCTGATGAAGTGAGTTTATCCATGAAAGCTCATGATCCTATATATTTTTTGTTCATCTCTGAGGCTGTCTCTAGACTGGCAAGTTTTTCCGCAAAATCAGCTGCTTTTGAGGAAAAATTTGCCAGCTGTCTACACTGGCCACTTGAATTTCCGCAAGAACACTGACTTCCTAGTGTCTGAAATCAGTGCTTCTTGCGGAAATACTATGCTGCTCCCATTTGGGCAAAAGTCCCTTTTGTGCAAAGCTTTTGTGCAAATGGGCCAGTGTAGACAGCTCAGATTTGTTTTGCGCAAAAAAGCCCCGATCGCGAAAATGGCGATAAGGGCTTTTTTGTGGAAAAGCATGTCTAGATTGGCATGGACGCTTTTCCGCAAAAAGTGCTTTTAATGGAAAAGCGTTCATGCCAATCTAGACGCTCTTTTCCGCAAATGCTTTTAATGGAAAACTTTTCCGTTAAAAGCATTTGCAGAAAATCATGCCAGTCTAGACACAGCCTGAGGGTAAATCTACACTACAGAGGAGGAT